TTAAGTCCATTGTAAGTCCCAAGGTCAGCAGAGCATAGCAGGCTGCTGAGCAACGACATGGCTACATACAGGGTCCAACCGTGCCATAGGCTAGAGACCATTCCCAATGTTTCTCCTTATATACAGGAAGCAGACCACATTCCCAAAGGCAGCTACTCAGCTGCTTGTGGTATGTCCCACCATGGAGCTGATTGCCAGTCTCATCCTGGGGAATAACTACCACCAGCTGCCCAGCCACTCAACCAGGCCTAGCCAAGTTGACATACAAACATAACTACCACAGATAGCAACTGAATTTATGTTAAGTAATACATAACATAACATAACTCAGCAGTGCCAGATCTAGACATCTAATCCTTGCAAAATGATGTCACTGGGCAGCTACTGGGTATCCATGCACTTGAAACAAGTAAATGCTGGTCTTGGTTTTGGTCTTACATAGCAAACATTGTATTTTCTACATGTTTCTCTGAAAGGGCTTTGGTCAAGAGATCCAGGAACAGATTAAAGTTTTTAAAACATCTCTAACAGATTAGGAAAGTTATAGGGAAATAGACTTGCTTTTTCACAGCACACCAAACTTCAAAGAACGGGAGAAATGGAGATCTGGTGGAGGGATTTTATTATTTTATATGATTTGTTCCAATTTTCTAAGACATGTTAGAAGAAAAGCTAACATGGCACATGTTTTTCCTCCTTCCCTGGAAATAAAGATAACAACTAACTTGCTAGTTATCCCACTACAGACCTACCCTCTTTTTTACTGTAACACTTTGCTTGTTACACTGTTGCAACTTCCTTCTTTGCTGAGCATGAATGGTATGTAGCAAGATTAAAAAATTCTCCACAAACAAACTTTTGTTTATGCTTTTGAGATGTGACATTTCTCCACAGGACTTTGTTGCTTTTTTACAGAACCCATTTTTTCCAATTAAAAAATAACATATTAAGAGAGTCTTCTTTTTACCAATTAGGTCAAAGTCCTAAAATTTTAAGACCCAAACCCCATGGTTTAGAGCGAACTGATTCACAAACCATAGGTGACTTTGCTACAAGAAGAAAGGGTATGTACTTTAGCACCGCATGCTGTATGGGACGTTGGGAATTTATTTTATTTTCTGGAAAAAAAAAAATATTTCTTAAAAAGTAAGGGAGAAAAATACTACTGTTGGTATAAATAAAGCTTCCCAGCATGTTATTTCTAAAGTGAATGCTTCCCATAATTCACAGTGAATTTCCTTGTAATGTCATTAACAACAGCATGTTAAACATTCGATAATATGTTATATTCAGTCTTGTCCTTTTGCATTATTCCTTTAAATTTTTAGACATCAGTACATTGTTTTCTTTAAGCTTGTAAACTGCTTGTGAGTCCAGTTGAATTCTCTCTTTATTTTTGTATTTTTATTCTGAAACAGAACACAGAGTCATTTTCATGAATTAATTATTTATGCCATTACTTAGAATTTGACAGCTTAAACTGCTATTAGCCTTTAGGTTTAAAAAAAAAAAAAAAAAAAAAACCAGCAGCAGCATTGAGAGTTAGAAAAACACTTTTAGTCAAGACATTATTTGGTACATAGCTATTTTAAGTATATCAATGAGCAAAATTAAGTTTAATCAATTTGGCTTCAGAAAATTTTATTGAATTTTTATATTTGAGTTGACAGAAATACTTAGCTGTAAGCCTCAGTGAATCTGTGTAGCCCTTTAAAATGACCACCCTATTTTATAGTTAGGTGGTAATTATAACATAGCTGATTAAAATTTACACATATATAGACAAAGACTAGAAGGGAACCTGAAAATTTAAATTTTCTTTAGAATTGTGGGATGAAATGTAACTAAAATATTTACCTAATATGTTTAAATAATCTCCTAAAATATAATTAAAATTAACAAATGGTAATTCTTTTGCTTGTTTTATAAATTTCTGAAAATGTTTCAGTCTTAACCTTAAGAAAAGGACTGAGAACTCTGTTATTTATGTACTAGTATAATAATCTACTGTAAAATGAGGTAAATTAAGTAAAGACCATTTACAAAACAATTAATAAAAAACATTAGCTTTTATTTAATTTTATTTATCTCAGTAGAGGAAATTATTGGTTAAATTAAGCTAAAAATTTTAGGTAATTGTTTAATTTTCTCAGAGCAGAGTTTTAGTATAAAGATATAATTATTGTTTATTTTGTTTTTTTTCCATACTGGGCATAAATAATTTTTAAAAGATTAGATTGTTAATTTTGGGAAAGAACTCTCTTTTTCATACTTTCTGTGCATCATTTTATATATATTATTGTATAATTGATGCTTTAGAATTGAAGAATAGGAAGGTTTTTACATATAAAATTGGATCTCCATATTTAAGGATAAAATTAGTGGGAAAAAATGTATTAATGAATAATGAAAAGTATAAATCGAGCAACTTTAAAATAACAGTTTCCCATTACACTGTCTTGTTCTCATTTGGTTTATACTCATAAAATATTATGAAATTAAGAAATATCACATAGTAGAGCTTTAGACTTGGAGTCAGCAATCATGACATTTACTTTTGCCAATATTGTTTAGCTGTGTGACCTTGGGCAAATCATTTAACCCTGCCTTGAGTCTCATTTCGCATGTGAAATGAGGTCACTGAACTAGCTGGTCTTAGGTGCATGTGAGAATAGAATACAGATAGAAAGGATTGTTTGTTTTTCAAACTTGCGTATACTGACATCTCTCTTTCTCTTCCATACAGCCAAGCCAGCACCTTTAGAAATAAAACCTTTGCCAGAATGGGAAGAATTACAAGCTCCAGTTAGATCTCCCATCACTAGGAGTTTTGCCCGAGAGTAAGTCTCCATTTAAAACACATAGTTTGTTTGAATAGCTTGAATATCTAGAATTGCTCCTTATTGTGGAAAATATCTGGAACAGTGGTTTTCAAAAGAAGGTTGATGGAGCTCTGCTTTTCAGGGTTCTTTGAAGTCAAACGTATTTTCATTAAGTTACTAAGATGTTGGGAGCTCTGGTAGCATAGTGCCTAAGGCACTTGACTGCTAACCAGAAGGCTGGCGGTTCAAACCCACCAGCCACTCCTCGGAAGGAAGATGGGGCAATCTACTTCCATAGTGATACTGCTTTGGAAACCCAAGGAGCAGTCGCTATGAGTCGGGGCCGACTCAACGGCACATAACAACAAACAACAACTAAGGTGTACTTGCATTTTCCTCTCTCATTTTCTCACAGGTATATAGTGGAGTTTTCCAGAGACTACATAATGTTTAATGACATCTCCATTGTGACAGCTAATAGAATTTGTGCTTGTGTACTTTTGTGTTTCAAAAATTTATATTTTAATTTCTAATGTGGTAGATACCAGTAAGTATATATCCCAAAAAAAAAAAAAAACCCTCACTGCTATCGAGTCAATTCCGACTAATAGCAACCCCTGTTAGGTTTCCAAGGCTATCAATCTTTACAGGAGCAGACTGGATCATCTTTCTTCTGTGGAGCGGCTGGTGGGTTTGAACCACCAACCTTTTGGTTTAGCACACCAATACCTTGACCATTACAGTACCAGAGCTCCACTTATTAGATATATAGCCAATATAAACATAAATTCCTTGGGGTTCTCAATCATTTTTGAGAGTGTAAAGTGTTCATGAGACCAAAAATTTTTGAGAATCATTGATCTGGTGGTTTCCTGTATGTGTTGAGGGGCTTGAGGTGGTGGTAGAGGGATAGGTAAAGAATTTGGAAAGTGAGATTATTTGATACAGATTTATTTTAATATATATAGGGAAATGAGAATGATATGCAAAGTTACAAACCTGTGTTGAATATGTATGTGAATAGATGTGCACATTTTATATATACACCCAGGCAGTTTTTTTTTAAAAAAAATAGGATTCTTAAATCTTCTTTTATATGTAACTTTGATTCAGTCCCAAGTCATAAGTAATACTTTTTTTGCTTGTTTGTTTTACACAGGATCATTTGATATCAAGAATATACTTTTGCAATACAGCTACAAATATCAGTTGTGCATTTGAATGTGTACAACAAAGTTTGTTACAATAAATGTGTGCAATAAATGGGTCTAAGCATAAATGAATATTTGTGAAAGAATGTTAACTATTCACTCTTATTTTTATTTTGGATGCAATTTAGAAATTTTCATCAAGTATTATGTTTGTAATGATGATTTCTGGCAATTAGCTCCTCCAGGTTTCCCATGTCCCCCCGACCAGATTCCGTGCACAGCACAACGTCAAGCAGTGACTCGCATGACAGTGATGACCATTATGTTCCCATGAACCCAAACCTGTCCAGTGAAGACCCAGTAAGTAAAGTCTTTACCTTCACTTCTCTCTTCCTGAGAATCAATGCTTTTAAATCATTCAAGTTAGATTCTGTCTTCCAGTATATCAATCTTACCCTTAGATTTTTCTTTATATATTAAGGAAAAAAGACAAAAGGCAACTTTTAAAACTGCTTTTTAAAAATAGCATTGTCATGCTTAAAACCAATGAAAGGTCAAAGTATAATTTCCATAAACTAGATGTAAATTAGTTAAAAGTCATAAAAGTTTTCCAGTTATGTTTCTTTTAAGATGTGCTTGATTTTTGATACTATTCAAGAAAATACTAGAAATATTTTATAATGCTTCAGGCCTGTGGCACAGCACGTTTAGGGTGAAATAGCCTTATATGGAAAATCTTTTGAAAACCTTTCAATAACATACAACATACCCTTAGATAAGGCTTAAAGATTAAAGAAGACCTGATTAGAAACATGGCAGCTCTGGTGGCATAGTTCCTAAGGCACTTGACTGCTAACCAGAAGGCTGTCAGTTCAAACCCACCAGCCACTCCTCAGAAGGAAGATGGGGCAATCTACTTCTGTAGAGATACTGCCTCGGAAACCCAAGGAGGGGAATAGACTTGACAGCATTGAGTTGTTAGAAAAATGTGTTTCAGGTCGGCTCTATTTTACCACAAGGCATGAGTATTTTAGTAATAGCAGGAAACATTATCTTCTCCAGAAATAAAGTAGTTGCCAGAAAATACTTAATGTGTTTAAAAGTACAAACCAATTTTAATTTTTTAAAATTATTTTGCTTTTCCTTAAATAATCTCTCGGAAGGAAGGTTGGACAGTCTACTTCCGTAGTTATACCACCTTGGAAACCCCAAGGAAGGGTCGCTATGAGTCGCAATCGACTCAACGGCAGTGAGTTTGTTTGCTTGTTTGTTTTTTAATAATCTCTAATGCTTGTCCTGTTTATTTGTCTTTCAACATGTAAATGTATCAGTTAGGATTAAGTTACACCGTCAGTAACACAAAAATAAATAACAGAGACTAAGACAAAAGTTTATTTCTTTCACTTGTAAAAATCCAGAGAGAGTCAACAGGGCTGCAGAGTCCTCAGGGATTGAATCTGCTTCAGCTTTCAGATCTACTATCCCTTGGGTATGACCCAAATGCTCATAGAACAAAAGAAGGCTCTAGCCAGCAGATTCACACACCAAGCCTCAGAAAGGAGGAAAGGGAGAAGCGGCAGCAAAGGATGCAATCTATCTGCCTCATAGAGAAGGTTCCCAGAAGTTGCTGTATGTAGCCCGTTGTAGAACTTAGACTGCTTGACCACACTTAGACACAATAGGTGCTGAGAAATATATAGCCTTTGTTTTGAGGGCCAGTAGACCCAGGAGCTCTGGTAGCATAGTGGCTAAAGCACTTGACTGCTAACCAGAAGGCTGGTGGTTCAAACCCACCAGCCACTCCTTGGAAGGAAGGTTGGGCAATCCTACTTCCATAGTGATACTGCCTCGGAAACCCAAGGAAGGGTCGCTATGACTTGGGGCCGACTTGACGGCAAATAACAACAACAACAACAACAAGACCCAGCTTAAAATCTCATTCACATGGCAGAGGGGAAAGCAGGTATTGGAGGACAACCAGACAATATCTGCCAGAATAAATTGACTCTAGTAAGAGTCTCTGTAAATCCTAAATGTTATGTCAAAATAGATCTAGTCACCAGTTTTCATCTATAGGTAGTTGATTGAACTTATTTCTTATCACAAAAATAATCAGAGTATTTCCTGAGACACCTAGGAGTAGTCTATCCTTTGTCAAAGATAGTGAATACCATGAAAAGCTGGGGAAGAACAAGTGATAAGAAATATTTGTCATGAATAAATACCTGGTGAAGAGAAAAGACTGAAAGGCAAAACATTACATCCAGAAGCCAGAGAGGCACTTGTGTGTCCTTGAGTCAATTCCAACTCATTGTGACCCTATATGACAATAGAACTGCCCTCATAGGATTTCCTAGACTGTAAGAGGAGCAGATCAACCAGCCTTTTCTCCCACAGAGCTGATAGTGAATTTAGACTGCCAACCTTTAGGTTAGTCGCTGAGCACTTAACTCTTGGGCCACTAGGGCTCTCACTGAGGGGTCTAAATAACCATGATCAAATGAATTTCCGATGTACTTAGATGGTGGGTGTTAGAAAAAAGCAAAAATAACCCAGGTGAAAATATCCATCTACCTTGCACACTAAAAAATTCCACTGTGCCACTCCCATCTCCACATGGTGCCAACTGCAGAAACTCATCATACCCTGTACAACTCTTTCTTAGAAAATAATGTGATGCTCACACCAATATGTCCTAAACTTCTTTAATCTGAGGACTTAATGTGTTGATGGAATACCATAGAGGTTAATATAATTTAGTGCATGGCTGGATCAATGAAGTCAGTTGAAAAAAAAAAGAGAAGTTGAGACAATCTGATCAAATCTGATTTGTATATGGAATGAATATTAAATTCTACAAATTGAAATTTTGAAGCATGACACATTTCCTAGACTAGTGATCATGGAGTTGGTACTGTATAATGGAACAGTGAATCGGTAATGCTGCCTGTTTGTAGAGAGAGCAGAAGTCATGTATTTATCAGGGGAACCTTTAATGTGACTCCTAAAATCCAAGTGATGGTGCAGCACTGCCAAAGACTTAAAGAATTGTTGCATAATAATAATTTTACATTTTTTTTTTTAATTTCAAAAAACATAGCACTAGTGGTTTGTTCTTTTTTTTTTTTTTTTTTTGATTCACAGAACACTTATAATAATTCCTAGAATCCTAGAGATTCTCTAAACTCATTTGGGAAAACACTGGGTTAAAGGCTGGAATAGAAAGACAAGCTATTCCCAGTTAAGATTAGATCAAGAGTGAATAGACTTCATTGTAGACACAAAAAATTTAATGCTTAAAGATGAAAAATCTTCCAATTCTAGTAATAATTAGACATAAAACAGTATAACTAGCAACTCTTAGAAATTCTTTATGAATAACTTACTGGTATTAAACATGTAGGTCATATGAACACATGACTTCCTTTGTTAACTTTGTAATATTCTGAATACTTCTAAGCATTCCCAGTCAGGGAAATGCAGGGTGTAGGTTCTTTGATTGGCATATTTAAGTACAGAATTTTAATTAATGATATGGAGTCATTCAGACAAAAAACTCCTTGATGATTTCAGTGTCTTCATGCTTTTTAAATTAGGTCAAAGAGAGAAAGAAGTGAATGGAATTTGTACTGATTGAGCAACAAATTTGCTTATGTTTTTTTTTTGTTGTTGTTGTTCCCTGCATATTCTCATCAATGTCTTCTTTTTTAATGTTTTAATAGCAGTGGCTGTTGAGTTTGGTTTTTAAAGTCTTTTCCTCCAAATAGGGCTGTAACATTGAGTTGCCATGTGGCTTTCTTCTTAAGACTATATGAGTCTATGAAATCAAGCCATGTAGTTTTCACAGAGCTGTGTCTTCCCAGAGGAAGGAGCATCTTTTATCGTAGTCACAAAGGATTGCATATAGACTGACAGCAGCCCTGCCACCTAATAAGGGAAAAGAATACTTTTTTTTTTTTCCTAGGAAATGCCTTTTCCCAAAGCATAGCTTTTACCTTGTTTAACTGAAGCAAAAAGAAATGGAGCAGCAATATAGAAGTGCCAGATTCGTACAGTTTTTCAAATTTATCACTTCGTCATGATTTTCTTTGAAAGTGTCTGAGATGATACGTGAACAATAATATCAACATGATAGAGGGCACAAGGATGAGAGAATGTAAGAGTATAGAGTCTTGCCTATGAGGAGTCAGGAACTTCTCTAGATGGGGCTAAAAGCAGCAAGACATGGGAACAAGTCAGTTGTTGAAGCACATTGAGGACTGTCTTATATTTAGAGTAGGGGATGTTTGTAGCCTCATAAATTCATCTCATCTTTTCATTTTTATTTAGCATTGATCTTCAAGTTCCCCTTCCAGTTTTGCACCTCGGATATGTTTGTTCTTGTTGTTTATTGCTGTCCTCTATCTTCCTTTTTTCTGTATATTTTGTTTATAAAGAAGTCCTTCTATTGTCTGTTTCCTGTTAGAAGGGAAAGGGTCAGGCTAGAGAAGGCAGGAACTTAAGTGGTAGAAATTCCAGATGGTTGAAACAAAATAGGCCTTGCCAATAATGTCATTATTCATAACTTTAACTTTACCTATTGCCCTTAGGAGCTCTGGTGGCGTAGTGCCTAAGGCATTTGACTGCTAACCAGAAGGCTGGCAGTTCAAACCCTCCAGCCATTCCTCAGAAGAAAGATTGGGCAATCTACTTCCATAGAGATACCACCTTGGAAACCCAAGGAGGAGTCGCTGTGAGTCGGATCTGACTCCATGGCAGTGAGTTAGGTTATTTTTTTTGGTTATTGCCCGTAAGTGGATTTGAGTGTGAAATCCTCTAAATGAAATATAGAAGATTCTTATTAAAATTTAATTTAACAACAAGGAATATAAAGCTTGAATCTTGTAGTTAAAAATATAATTGAGTGCAGATGCAATATTTAATAATACTCAGGTTGCGCTGTCACGACTAACTGTAGCTTGGTATCCCAACCTTAGCTTGAACTGCACTTGACTTTTAAAACT